CCAGGCAAGAGACAAACCCTGCCGGTTCCATTAAGGGACAGATGTGGCCGGCCTACAGTAATGACTCAGCCTGGTGGTAAAGGAATTGCCAGCTCCAAAAATACCCGCCCACTGAGGATCAATCAGCACCTTGGCTGCTGGGACCCTGCATCACTGAGCGATTACTGTTCTGCCTGCAAGGGCCCTCCTGCAGAGCAGAGTCAGCGGGTTGGGTGGGACAATGATTGTTCTTCAAATGGCCCATACTCAGCACTGAAGGTGCTTTGCACAGAGACGGTTGCTGCCTGTGGGGGACAGAGAGGAATGAAGTTTCTGAAAGCCACATCCACTTCTCGGGTAGACAGAAAGAAGGGGGAGAAAACTCTTCTAACTGACGAGTCTGGGACAGACTAAACTGAAGTGTTAATCGTCCCACCCCCATGAAAAGGATAATGTGGGTCTCACTGTACCGACATGAACCAGTTCCTAAAATCTATCCTCAAGTAAAAGCGGCAAGTTGCAAAACTGTGCAGAAACTTACTCCCGTCAATAGTTTATTAAGGAGCTCTGGATCTGGACCCACAGTCCTGACCCCATCCTCTTTCCTTAAGCTCTCTCTGCCTCAGTTTCCTCATGGAAAACAAAGATAATAAGCATACTGACTTCCCAGAGGCTCCAGACTTGGAGTAAACATCCCCTCACATTATGATGTGGTTCCGTGCTTACACACCTGCCTCCTTGGGAGACTGTGAGCTACTCAAGGACCGGGTCTAGCTCTTGGTTTTCTTATCCTTCCCAAGTGTCACTGCTATTGTTAGGGGAAGCACGCTGACTGAAACCACCCACCCTGGCCAGGCACCATAGTAACCATATGCATGAGTTGTTTTTACAACAGGAGGTCCTGGTAAGGAACACGGAACTAATAAGCCACCACCAACTGGAAGAGTTCAGGAAAGGTCAAAATGAGACCCCACCTGGCCTACCACCTCCCAGAATCCTTCTCTCTGGCATCCATCTTGGCTGAACAAGGCCTGCACCACCAGGAAGGACTCTCAGTCAGAATGATTGGCTAAAGACAACCCGGAAACTAATCCCATCACCATAAGACTGCCAGCCATGGGGCAGAGCTGTTCTCCTGGGTTCCCTTACCCTCCTGCTCTCCACCTGGGGGGCCCTTTCCCAATAACATCTCTTGCTTTGTCAGAACATGTGTCTCCTCGGACAATTCATTTCTGAGGGTTAGACAAGAGCCTAGTTTCGGGCCCTGGAAGGGGTCCCCCCTTCCTGCAACACCATGACAGCGAAATGAGATGACACATGTAAAACTCTCAGGGTGGAGCTGGGGATGCTAAGTGTCCAGTGAATTTGGGTCCAGTGTTATTAGTCACTTGTTCATGCCCTTGCCAGGCCCAGAACAGGTGCTCAGGAGAAGCAAGTGAATTGAGCTGAAAAGCAGGCTGTGAGACTGAATATACACACAGACAATGGCCAGACCAAGTATAAAAATAGGTCTGCGACCCACAACCTGCAGCATCCTGTCCAGGAAATCATCCTGTTAGTAAAGCAACCACCCAGGAAGCTAGCCTTCTGTTAAGTCAGACTTGTAGGCAGTCAGACTACCATCTCCATCAACTATCCAGGAAGCCAAATAACATCCTCTGTAACAGTTGGCCTCAAATGGCCAGAACTTGATTACTGAGTTTCCCTAATGTTTATCCCAATATCCCACTCAGGACCAACCAGAGACAGCCAGAAGTACATCCTAAGCAATCACATAGGACGCCCTGCAGCCAGCTGGCCCGCCTGCCTCCAGGTTCCCTGGGCTCCCAGCCTGCCTTCAGGCACACCTGAGGCCTTCTCCCTTTCATCCACTATAAAGCCTTCCCATCCCTCTGTCTGCCTTTGACTCCCTGCTAAATGCAAGTGACAGTGGCTGAATCCTTGGCTAGAGCAAGCTCTGAATGAAACGCCTCTGCTGGTTCTCATTTGGATGGTCTTTGTCTATTTCTGCAGGTGTGTCTTGGACACCTCTGGCCTGGCAGACTCAGGATACACTCAGTAAAAACACTTGAATGACCTGCATTGGGAGGAAGTGGAGAGATGAGAACATGGGAGGAAGACACAGGCCAGAGGAGCCACAGGCAGACACAGGGACCCACTCTCGGCAGAGCCTACTTGCCCTTTGGACAGGTAGAGTCTGTGCCATTGTCCATCTCAGATCTTGCTTTTTCCCACTATAAGTTCGGTGAAAGATGTCAAGGGGATGTAACCATTAAAGACGACCCTGGTTGCCCAGTGGTTAGGACCTAGCTCTTCCACTGCAGAGGGCAGAGGACAGGGCACAAGCTGGATCCCTGATTGGGGAACTAAGATCCTGCATGCTGCATGATGTGGCTAAAAAATAAAAAAGTAAAGTGAAAAAAAAAGACCATCCAACTTCAAACGGGCCATGACTCCAGCAAACGAAAGTGTCCAGGGTACCCACAGGAGACCACTTGCCAAGCACAGGTAGGGAGTAAGCAGGCTGCTCTCTCCCCAACACTGAGGCAGCCAACTTTCTCTGTCAAGGACCCACAAGAGGATGCTAGCAGGTGGTAAGGAGCTCAGCAAAGCCTATTCAAGCCTCCTCGTCACACTTGAAAGGAAAAGGTTTTTCTATCTGATAGAGAAACCAGAATAAAGGTTGGGACCCAGAGCCATCACTGTGGGAGCCAGGTGAGTCTCTCTACTCCAGCCCCTCTATTCCTGGTCACCCTCCCTGGGTCCACTGCTGCCTCTGTGAAATCCAATCACTGGGCACACCAGGGCCTTCTCTTTGTAATCCAAGGTGGTATAGGGGAGGCAGGAGTACCAGAGCACAGGAGGGAGGGCAAACAGCATCCTTCTGCAGATCTCTGATGGAAGGTGTCATGATAAGTATATTCTCATGACTGACTGATGGAAGGGTATCATGGTAAGTATATTTTCACGACTGAGGCATAAATATAGGGACCCTAAATGCATTTCTCTGGCAATTTGCTACTGTGTCCCCTGGAAGGGGCCTGCTCACTCATTCCACAAGGTGCTGCCAAATGTCAAGTCCTTGAGCTAACTAATGCAGGTGGTCTGGAAAGGCAATCCCGGCTGCAGAGTGGGTGACATAAGTGTCCTGCTAGAAGACCCTGGCCACATCACTTCTTTCCCTGACCTTCCTTTTCCACTGTGAGATGAGATGGCAGAAACAGCTCTAATATTTTATGGGAGATTCTCTCAACTGGTGGCCCACAGGCTAAGTCTAACTTGCAAAATGTGTTTTATTGGCTTCCACATTAAAGTAAAAATGGATAAATTTCACATAAAGATCCACCTTTCTAGCTTCAATTGAATAAAATAATCAGAACAACCCCAGGGACTTTCCTGATGGTTCAGTGGTTAAGACTCCACACTTTCACTGCAGGGGGCACAGGTTTGATCCTCAGTTGGGGAGCTAAGTTCCCACATGCTGCACGATGTGGCCAAAAAATAGAAGATGGGAAAATAAGAACAATTCCATGGCATGTCTGGCAGAAGCTGAGCAGGGCAGGTACCAGTTGGCCACAGCCCCCACCACTCCTTATCATTACCAATCTGAGTCACTCATAACTTACATGCTAGTCTCTTCGGCATTTGCATTTATAACTCCTAAACCATGGTCTCAATTTTGGCTGCCAGCACTTTAGAACGATTGATTTAGATTTTAACAGATGTCTACACCCAGACCCACACCCAGACATTCTGATTCAATGGGTCTTGGGGTAAAGCCGCGGCAAATTGATTCTAATTTCAGTCTGATTCTAATTTCAGGCTGAGAGCTGCTGGTCCAAGGGCCCCACTGGCTGGGAGGACCCATCTCACCTGTGTAAAGAAGCAGGCACCAGAAAAGGAAGGATGGTAAAATGGTCCTGGTAAAAACCATTCATAGATGATCCTGGGGAAACATGTCTTGCCCTGGGATTCCTTGACTCACCCTCCATCATAAGCACTTTTAACATTTTAGGCACAAATGCAAAGAGCTTTGTGAGCTTCAGTCAGAAACGACCACACAGATCAATCCCTCCTCCAGGCCCTTGTGTCTGCACCCAGTCTAGGTCCCACCTGTAGCTTTCTCCCGAGACACTGTCCAAGAAGCTTCCTATCCCTGGCCCAAGTTTGCCAATTCACGCTTCCCTCTCCTCTCTGGGCTCCGCCAGAGTCCCCATCTCCTCTGGGAAGCTGCAGGAAATAGGCTGTTCAGGTCCCTCAGATTCCATCAGCAGCATTTTACATACTGGTTTCTCTAAACAGACTCTAAGACCCCTTTCATGCCCTTATCAGAGAATTCCAGAAGGCAGGAATTACCTCTCCTGTGCCCTCCCCAACTCCCCCTCCCACCCCACCATTTCATAAACACACACCAAACACCCAGGCTTCAGCTCCACCCCACAGGTCACTGGGCTGAGCAGCAGTGAACTCCTGTGGAAGGATGAGGGACTCGCAGAAGGATAAAGGAGCGGGGAGTGGACACGCAGTAGCCACTGCATCCTGCTCCTCCATCCGGAGGAGAAATTTCATATGCATCTACAATGCCCACCTGTCAGCCTCCTGCCCGTCTCTCTGCCAAGCACCCAAGTCCACTTGCTCTGCATTGGCACAGCAGAGAAAACAACATCCCTGACATGTCACTCCTGAGCTGAAAACAGCCCTAGATTGGTGGGGTGCAGAAGGGGGCTCGCTAACAAGTCTACTGAGAAAAGACTACTCCAGAGCTTCCAGACCCCAGATACCCTGCTGGTCTATTCAAAACAAAAGAACCACTCCAGGACCCACGGCCTTAACCATGAGTCAATCTGACTGACAGCCAGCTAGAGGTAGGGGAGATATCCAGGCTGCAGGGAGGACACCCTTAAAGGCCCTCCTTGGGAATTCTTTCCTGAGACTAGCTGACCAGGGCACCAGCCCTGAAGACAGTGCCCAGAGAGGGTTGCAGCCTTCAGGGAGAGAGCCAGAATGCCCTCCCGGCCTACCTCGGAGCTGACAGAACGTGGTCATGAACTTGCTGGTGAGGGACTTGAGCTCGTTGTTGGCCAGCGTGATGAGGTGGATCTGGTCGGTGACATTTCGCAGGACCTTGTAGATGCCGATGGGGAAGGAAACCAGCTTGCACTCGGCCAGGTCTGCAGTCAAAGGACAAAGACCAGAGTTAGCAGCCACAGTTGACCATGGACTTGCCCCCAACCTCAAAGAACCTGACCCTGTCTCTCCTACTGCCTCCCTTTTCCCCATCCATCTTCCCTGTGCCAGGCTTAAGACCTTGTCCTCCCTCCTCCAAGAGCCTTCATTACCATTCACCACACTTGTCCCCATCTAGCTCCCTGAACTTAGGGCTGATTCTAGCACAATCTCTAATAGCATGGCCTGCTAGCCAAAATGCAGAAGGCAGAGCTGTGCCAGCACACCGATGACCAGGCCACATGGCCGTGTGCCTGAGGCCCTGCAGGACCCACAAGTCCCTCCAGGATCATCAGACTAGGCAGTGAAGTCGCAGTCTTCAGAGTGCTTTATAACAGTCTACTTCTTTGAAAAGAAGTAATTCACACAGACTTTGTGGTTTGACCTTCTTCCATGTCCTGTCACTCTGAAAATAGGTCTGTCCAAGAGGCAGCAGGGAAGCCTCTCTGAAGAATAGTCTGGTAGTTCTTTGAATGGTTAAACCTAATTAGCACATTACCCAGCAATTATTCACAGTAGCATTACTCATGTTGTTGTTGTCCAGTTGCTCAATCATGTCTGACTCTTTGCGACCCCAGGGACTGCATCACACTAGGCTCACCTGTCCTTCACTAACAGTGTGCTGAAACTCATGTCCATTGAGTCAGTGATACTATTTAACCATCTCATCCTCTGCATTATTCATAATAGCCAAAAAATGGAAACAGCTCATGTGTCCATCCACAGATGAGTAGATAAAATGTGGTATATTCATTTTGTTTGGCAACAGAAAGGAATAAAATACCAATATATACTACTAAATGCTGTTGTTGTTTAGTCGCTAAGTCATATCTGACTCTTTGCGACCCCATGGAATGTAGCTCACCAGGCTCCTCTGTCCATGGGATTTCCCAGGCAAGGGAAAGTTTGCCATTTCCTTCTCCAGGGATATTCCTGATCCAGGGGTTGAACCCGCATCTCCTGGTTGACAGGAGGATTAGACGGGCCTTAAAAACACTATGGTAAGTGAAAGAAGCCAATCACCAGGACAATATGCTAGATGAGGCCATTTACATGAAAGGTCCAGAATAGGCAAATGTAAAGACAGGATGTAGATTATTGGTTACCCAGGGCTGGGGGTACTGAGGGGTGAGGGGTTTCTTTGCAGGGGTAACGCAAATGTTCTACAGTTGAATGTGGTGATAGCTGCACATTGAATATACTCAAACCACTGAAATGTACACCTTAAATGGATGGAGTATATGGTATGTGAATTATATTTCAATAAAGCTGGTTCATATATACGGCAGCAGAGAGACACTGAAAGCATGGAGGCTCAGAAATTATCTGTCCAGCTCATCTAAGTCACTTATCATTGCTGAGCCTCAATTTTCTCATCTTTAAAATGGGAGCATCATTGTCTACCTAGTAAGCTGTCAGGAAAAGTAAATATAATAAAAAGTACTCAGTGGGGCTTTCCTGGTGGCTCAGTGGTAAAGAATTCATCTGCCAAAGCAAGAGACACAAGTTCCATCCCTGACCTGAGAAGATCCCACTTGCCACAGAGCAACTAAGCCCGTGCACCGCAACTCGAGACTGTACTCGAGAGCCCGGAAGCTGTAACTACCAAGCCCACATGCCACAAGTACTGAAGCTGGTGTACCCTAGAGCCTGCGCCCAGCAACAAGAGAAGCACCACAAAGAGGCCTGTGCACTGCAGCTGGAGAGTAGACCCCACTCACCGCAACTAGAGAAAAGCCTTTAAAGCAATGAAGACCCAGCACAGCCAAAAATAAATAAAATTATCTTTTAATAAAGTACTCAATATACTAACCAAGTGCCTAGCAGGTAAATAGTGGGGCTACTACAAATGTTGCTTCCCTACTCACCTTCCACTTTGCCCTCCCCTTCGCATCCTATCCACACCTGTCCATGCTGCAGGGCCAGGTCCCATCCCACCTCTTCTAGAAGTCTTTCTGGATGCCCGCATTGCTGGTGACTGCCCCCTCCAGGAGCACTCACTGACTCAGACAGCACTGATCCATCTCTCAGCAAACTGTGGTCTTTTCCCTCAAGAGGCCAGGCTTTCCCAGGCCTCTAAGCCTTTGAATCTCGTTCCAAAATTAATACACAAAGTTCAATAACATTCCTATATGCCAATAATAAAATATAGCTTTTAAAGATCCTACTCTGTAAAGAAAGTCAGACAGAGAACAAATCTTTCTCAGTTATATAAGAGTATGATGTCACTTATATGTGGAATCTAAAAAAATGGTACAAATAAACTTATTTACAAAACAGAAATAGAGTCACAGATGTAGAAAATAAACTTATGGTTATGGGGTGAGGGGCACGAAGAGGGATAAATTGAGAGTGGGATTAACATATACACACTACTATTTGTAAAACAGAATTAATAAGGACCTACTTAATAGCACAGGCAATTCTACTCAGTACTCTGTAAGGGCGTATATGGGGAAAGAATCCAAAAAAGAGTGGATATATGTTCATGCATAACTGACTCACCTTGCAGTACAGCAGAAACTAAGACAATATTATAAATCAACTATACTCCAATAAAAAAATTTTTAATTTGTATTTTAAATATTTTAAAGTATGCTAAAGAGAAGATAGGAAGAAAGGAAGGGAAGGAGGGAAGGGGGAAAGAAGAAAGAAACAGATCCCAGGGATGGGGAATACATGTAAATCCATGGCTAATTCATTTCAATGTATGACAAAAACCACTGCAATGATGTAAAGTAATTAGCCTCCAACTAATAAAAATAAATGGAAAAAAAAAAAAAAGAAACAGATCCTATTCTGAACAGCAGCAAGAATGCAAAGTCTATAGAAATAATCAAAACCGAAGCCCTTCACCCTTATCTGCCTCTAACAGCAGCTCAAATGTCACCTCCTCCACGAAGCCTTCCCTGACAACCCTAAGCTCCAGTCCCTGAGTCTTACATGGTGTGAAAGAGACCTCTTCACCCGTTACTGTATTAACCTCCTTTTGCATCTACTTTTCCGGTAGAGTAGGAAGACCCCCAGAGAACATTACCAGCAGAGGTGGACCAGGCTCAGCGGGCAGGACAGAGTTACTGGTGACCTCACTGAGCTGGTCTGAGGAAAGAAAGGGAACAGATGGGGGTAAGGGCAAAAATCCAAAAGACCGAGGAACCAGAGAGGTAGGGCATCCCATTAAGAAGTGTCTTCAGAGACTCCCCTGGTGGTCCAGTGGTTGAGACTCTGTATTTTCACTGCAGGGGGCCCAGGTTCAACTCCTGGTCAAGGAACTAAGATCCCGCAAACCTCGAGGCTCAGTCAAAAAAAAAAGTGTCTTTACTGTTTCTTCTGGTCCAGGGCTATGCTAGGTGACTCCAGCCTGGCTGCTGTACAATGTCAGGAACCTGCTCTTAGATCAGCAAGATGGAGTTTGCAGAAGAGAGTGCAAAGTCTTACGGGGAGGGATGAATGCCCAGAGGTCAGACTTCCAGTAAAAAGAGATTGAGGACTGGATCAGCCCTGCAGGCTCGAAATTTGGGGCAAGCTGAGGATTCTAGAAAAAGCAAACCTTCCAAACAATGAGCCCCCTACTGCTTTGTGCCAGATGCTCAAAGGTCCAGAAAGGTTTCTTGTTGTGGTTATAAATCATAAGAGCCCCTGTGGATAAAATCAATGGATCTCAGCCCTGCTAGGAACAACATCAAGGAAAGTATCAGAAGCTTTCCCTTTAAAACAAAGAGCAAAATAAGGATGTCTTCCATCATCAGTATCCCTAAATATGGTCATAGACATTCTGGCCAAAGAAACAGAAAGCATAAACATCAGAAACAGATAAAATGATGATTATGTATATATGAAATGACTGCATAACCTCAACAAAGCAGTCGTCTGACAAGGTACACAAATTAAAAAGATCTCAGCAAAGTGGCTAATCAAACTAAACATGCAAAGTTCAAAAATATCCCTATATGCCTACAATAAATATAGTTTTAAGGATCCTATTCCAAACAGCAATATAATATAAAATATAGAGCTCAAAAATATAGAAAAATAAAAATTTTAAATAATAAAACAAAATATAGAGCTAATCATAATGGAAAATGCATCTGACCAATATTAAAAAAAGTGGGAAAGTTCACAAATATATTTCTAAAAATGGGTTTGTACATTGAAGATATATAACATTCATTGACAGCAAGTCAAAATACTGTAATAATGGTGATTTTTTTAAGAAGTTAAATTATAGATTGTTTAATGCAATTCTGACTCAAATCCCCCCAATTTTTTTTTTAACTTGATGAAATGGTTTTAAATTTCAACTAGGTAATAAGCAAGCAAGACTCTCTAAAAGAGAAGAAAGTAGGGAGATAAACAATTTTATAAGGCTGCAGGGATTAAAATAGAGGGTAATAGGAAAAGAGATCATATAAAGAAAACCTACAGTCTAGAAAATACAGCCCCTAAATTCAGTTCAGTTCAGTTCAGTTCAGTCACTCAGTCATGTCCGACTCTTTGCGACCCCATGGATCACAGCACGCCAGCCCTCCCTGTCCATCCCCAACTCCCAGAGTTTACCCAAATTCATGTCCCATCGAGTCAGTGATGCCATCCAACCATCTCATCCTCTGTCGTCCCCTTCTCCTCCAGTCCTCAATCTTACCCAACATCAGGGTCTTTTCCAATAAGTCAGCTCTTCGCATCAGGTGGCCAAAGTATTTGAGTTTCAGCTTCATCAGTCCTTCCAATGAACACCCAGGACTGATTTCCTTTAGGATGGACTGGCTGGACCTCCTTGCAGTCCCAGGGACTCTCAAGAGTCTTCTCCAACACCACAGTTCAAAAGCATCATTCTAGCACTCAGATTTCTTTGTAGCCCAACTCTCACATCCATACTTGACTACTGGAAAAACCATAGCCTTGACTAGATGGACCTTTGTTGGCAAAGTAATGTCTCTGCTTTTTA